CACGGTTCCAACCTTCAGGAAGTCTCAAGAGTAGGGAGTGCGACGGCAGCTGCCGTGTGGTCCGAGTTTCTGCGGTCCTGGGTCAGGCCTTGGGGGCTCCTCACCTTTTGATTTTGGATGGGGGGTCCGAGTTTGGAGCCAGGTTTGCCCGGGGCCTGGAGCAGTGGGGAGTCTGTCACCATGTGTGCGACGCCGACTCTCCGTGGCAAAACGGCAGAGTGGAGCGCCACGGGGGTTGGGTCAAGGAGCGGGTCCGGGCCGAGTTAGAAACCGGGGCCGCCCTTCCAGCTAGCCTTTAGGAGATGGACGACTTGATCTTCGAGCTGGTCGCCCATAAGAATCGGTTTTGGCATCGAGGGGGCTTCTCTTCTCTCCAACTCGTGTTCGGAGAGAACCCTCGGCTTCCCCACGATCTGCTCTCTGATGACCACAAGGCGTTGCCAGGGTGGCAGGACGTCACCAGCCCATCCTCGGAACACGATGAAGCCAGGGCCGAATTTGCCCGGGCTCACGCCATCCGGGCAGCCGCCCGGAGGATGGCGATGGAGGCGACCGCTCGAGACAAACATCTCCCGAGCCAGCCGGGCCAGGACCCCAGGGAATCGCAGATTCACTCCAGGCCAGTGGGTGTTTGTCTGGCGTCACTTTACCCGGATGTCCTCTCGCGCCGACGCCCTCGGACGGCGCCGGGCGGGCTGGACGGGTCCCGGGGTCGTGGTTTTGGCCGAGGGAGGCACGGTTTGGGTGGCTGTCCGGGCCAGGCTCTGGAAGCGCTCGGCCGAGCAGGTCCGACTGGCTAGTCCAGAAGAAGAGTGCGGCCTTCAGCTGGCTGAGGACCCGCGCTGGCAGGATCTCCTGCAGGCTGTCCAGGCACGTCGCGTGACGGCAGTGGACGTCCAACGCGAGGGGGCTCCTCCCGACAGTGCCTGGGACGAGGCGGCCCAAGCCGACCTCGACGCCGGACCCCAGGTTCCAGGACCAGGACCTGCTCCGAGGAGCGATCCCGAGCCAGAGTCTCGAGCCCAGGCCCCCACGGTCACGGGGCCCCTCGGCCTCCCACGAAGGCCGCCCCGAGGAGGTCAGTCTCGAGCTGGATCGGTCGTGGCGCAACCAGGATCAGAGCGGACGGGTTTGCCGTCAATCTCAGAGGGGCCACCTTCAGAAGTGGACCGGTCAATCAACACTCCTCCGAGTCCTGCTCGCTCTCAGGAAGAAGTCGAGAGGGCCGACACAGGAGGAGGTTCTGTTGAGCCCGGGAGCTCTCTCTCTCCGTCTCTCACCCCTCCCCCTGGTCTTTCTCCTCCTTTCTCCTCCTCTCCTCCCGGGCCTCCTTCCGAGGACGCGAGGCCTTTTCCCGATACTCCTCATCCTTCTAGTCCTCCCCCCGACCGGGACAGGCCCGCTCCCGGAGCAGTCAAGCCCCGAGCGAGGATCTCCCAGCCCGACGACGTGCCGGCCTGCATCCGGGCCGCCCGGGCAGGGAGCGCGCCTCCCGAGGTCAAGAGGGCGAGGACCCTCGACCCTGGCGTTTCCCCCGCGGCGGGGACCTCCTCTCATCCTCCTTCCCCTGGTGGTGGCGGTGGTGGTGCTAACTCCTCCTCCTCCTCCGGTCCAGGACCAGGCCCGGAGACGTCCAGAGCTGTAGTGATGGGTAGGGAGGACAGCCGATCCGTCATGGAGCGGGTTCGAGATATTGAGTCCAGGGGAAGGTCCCGCTCCCCGGGTCGAAGAGAGACGAATGAGGGGTTTGCGGGGGCCGAGCCAAGGGGGGACTTCTGGGTGGTCCCGGGCGCCGTGGACGGGCTCGGCACGATCCCTGTTGGTTTCGAGGGCGGGACCAGAAGTCTCGAGGAGAGTTTTCAGGACGGTGGCGTTTTCGCGGCCAGCCGAGGCGGGGAGGTGAGTCTGAAGCAGCTTACCCCCCCCGAGCGCCAAAAGTTCCAGGCTTCCGACGACAAGGAGTGGCAATCCATGATGCAGTCCGGGGGTGTCCGAGTCATCCCTCCCGCCCAAGCGGCTAAGATCCGTCAGTTCCAACCGGATCGTATAATATCGAGCCGGATGGTCAGGAGGTGGAAGCCGGTGGAAGGAACGTTCACCGAGCCAGGGGCCAAGTCCCGATGGTGCGTCCACGGGCATAAGGACCCGGACTCTGGATCCCTGGCCGTGTGCGCACCTACTCCACAAACGTCATCCATCATGATGTTTGTCCAAGTCCTGGCCAATTTCAATATGTTAGGAGACATCGCGGATGTCAAGAATGCGTTCGCCCAGTCCGACCCCATGTCCATGTCCCAGGGTCAGATCTACGTCGAGCCCTGCGAGGGCATCCAGGTGGAGCCGGGGTCGCTCATCCTCCTGCTTGTGAATGTGTACGGACTCGACGACGCTCCTGTAGCATGGAGGCGCACTGTGGTGGGCCATCTGGAAAAGCACGGTTTTGTACGCAGCCTATTGGAGCCATGCTGGTGGTTGAAGTATCTGTCCGACGGTACCATCCAGAACATGATGCTATTAGAAGTCGACGACTTCTTCATCGGCAGCTCCGACGCATCGGCCCGTTCCTGGATCCGAGGTGCGCTCGAGAATCGTTTTCGTTTCGGCAAATATCGCGATTGCCACGTGGGACCAGTAGATTTCGCAGGCCGCCGAGTTACGTTCGCTCCAGGCAAAGTCACGATCGACCAAGAGAAGTACATTATCGAGGAGATTCGTCCGCTCACCCTGGCCCGAGGCAGAATGACCCACAAGAACGCACCACTGGAACCCACAGAGTTCAAGGCTCTCAGATCCCTGGTGTACAAGTTTAACTGGGTGGGGAGGGAATCACGTCCGGAGGCGGCTGGAGTTGCAAGTATTTTAGCCAGTCGGCTCCGAGCTCCGACGGTGTCAGATGTTGCGTGTGCGAATAAGCTAGTCAAACACCTTCGAGCATCTGCGTCTCGAGGCCTTACCGTCTGGAGGCTGAACCCAGAGCACATGGCTTTCATATCGTTCTCAGATGCTGGCGGGGTCGGCTCGGTCGAGTCACTGGTGGACGACAACGGGTTGCCTTCCGACCCCACCCAAGGAGCTTGGATGGTGCTGGCCGCCGACAAGTCAGTTCTAGATAACCAATCCGTTCGAGCTTCTCTTCTGGGCTGGCGCAGCAGTAAGCTACGACGTAACTCTGGCCGGGGAAACCCAGGCCCTGTCGGCAGCCGTGGCGGAAGTCGAGTATCTACAGGTGCTCTACCGGGACGTTGTGTTTCAGGATGTCGACCTACCCGACTGTGTTCGAGCCTCAGGCCCGTTCACCACTGTCCTTCGGCGGGATTGTAGGCTAGGAAGTCGAGAGCAGCAGATCCACGTGGTAGACGCCAAGTCCATCTATGACACGATGCAGAAGGAGGGGAACGCGTCCGCCCGAGACCGCCGGACAGCACTTGACCTAGCGATCATCTGTGAGTCCCTCGAGCGTGCTCGAGGACGGGTCCGCTGGATTCCTCACGGCAGAATGCCGGTGGATGCACTTACAAAGGACGACATCACCAAGTGCAATGCAGCGCTGTTCGATTTTTATGTCTAGTGGCAGGATCGTTCTAGTGGATGAAGAGTCCGAGGTGGATCGACGTCGTGCCACCCCCGAGCTGAAGGACCGCTCCCAGTCAGCCTCCAGGAAGATGCTGGCCGGGCCCATCTGGATTTCCTGGAAGGAGTACCTGGACGAGCTTGCTCCTCCTGGCCTGGTCGGTGGTGGTTGTGGTGGTGGTGTCCTCCCGTCCACCTTCTCCTCTCCCTCTTCCTCCAATCCCGCCTTCCAATAGTCTGCTATCCTCTTCTATCCTCTGCGCTGTTGCTTCGAGTTTCAGAGTTCGTCGATCGGCACGATGCCGACCGACACTGCAAGGCAGTGGACACGGACTTCTGTAGTGTTTCCCGGGGAAAACTGCTAAACCTGGAGAAAGTTTGACCCATGTTGCTGGGGACCATATTTTGTGACATAGGTTTAGCATATGCGTTTCACTCAGGGACAGATGGTCTGAGGACCATCATGTGTGACGTCCGTTCCACTTATGGCTCAAGGGAAAACATTTCGCTTGCCTCTCCTGCTGCCACAGGGGCTCGGGGGGTCCAGTATTGGTTCCAGCCAGCAGAAAGGGCGGGCAGTTTCGAGGATCTGGATTTGGGAAAGGAAAACGGATCGGGGGTGAAAAACTGATCGGGGGTGCAAAATTGCACCAGATGGACCCCAGGAGGGGTCTGGGGACAGATTGCCAAATTCGGCCTCGTCCCCGCTCCTGGCCGATTCTCTGGGTGTCCCAGCCAGTTCAGGGCCCCCCGCCGCCTGCAAGGTCTCGGGGCCGTCTCGCGGAGCCCTGGGGTGATGGGGGACCGCCTGGGGGGGGGTCTCCATCAAGTCGGCGCGGCGAAATCCGAGCCCGACCCGAAAGTCGTAATTGCATGAATAAGTGCAGCGCCTGCTGCCGTTGACTGCCTTGCTTGGCCTATGTCCCTGCGTGGCTGTCGGGCCTCGGCTCTTCCCTCGGTCGTTGTCCCTCCGCCGTGGTGTCTTTCCCTGGCCCTCGCTTCGCTCGTTTTTCGGGGCCTTGTTCGGTCCCCGCTCATCGCTGTGCGATGCAGCGCAAGGGTGTCAGCGCTTGATTCTAACTTTCGCCCAAGACAGAGAATCCGAACCCTTCCCTTGCCGATCAACGATTAAGTCATGGGCAGATCAACCTTGGGCCGATGAGCCCGATATAGCGAGATCGGCTGTAGAGCCGGGCGGCCGCGCGAGGGATGGCGGCGGCCCCTGGCCGGCCATGGGTGGCAGCAGCGACAAGACGGTCGACTACGAGGACAAGAGTGAGAATGGAGAAATCCCAGGGTACTACGTACATGTATCTCGTCTTCAGTGGGTCGCTGGCCGTGACAAGACGTGGCATTGGTTTATATTGAACGACTACAACGACAAGCTCAAACGTGACTCCTGGGATGTCGAGTGCCTTGCCGGAGCCTCCGCCGCCGCCTACGCCGAAGGCGAGGCCGCACGTGAAGGGCAAGGGCAACAGTGAGCCAAACAGCTGGAGTTCAAACAGAAGTGAAATCTACATGAAAATTACTCCACAGATCAGTGCCAGTGGAAATGGAGTATGAGAGACACGTGGGATGATTCTCGAGAGTGGAGGAAACACTGGCAGAGGTGACGCAGTACAAAACAACCAGTACGACATGGTCGGTGCTGGTCCAAACTACGTCATTTAGCGGGTGCACCAGGTGTGCACGGGCATTGTGGCCTGAGCTGGGAAATATTTGCTCAGGCGGGGATGGTCGGGTTACTTCGGCCTTCCGCCCCCTCTGGCAACCACCGTTGAGCGGTCAAATGCTTTTGGGGTTCGCGAGCGTTTACGTTAAAATGCTCTGTGGCCCCAAAGGGGACTCCACCGACGAAGGCCCCAGAAGGGGGTACCGCCGCACTCATTTCGGGGCACCTTTACCCGGTCCGTGCCCCCATGTGGAGCTCCACCGAAGGCCTCGTGGGTGTGTACCACATGCGGTCGCCTCCTATTTCGGCACACCCCTCACGTTTCGTGGCCCCGCAGGGCGCTCCACCGAAGGCCCTGTGCCAGGGCCCGCATGCCACGGTTCGCGGCCCCGTCGGGAGCTCCACCAACGGCCGTAGTGACAGCGCCCACATGGCAGCCCCGCCCCATGTCGGTACACCCCCTCACGCGCTTTTGTGGCCCCGTCAGGGGATCCCTCGAAGGCGATACCCACAACGACGGCACTCGCAACTGCAAATGGTTGGGTCCTCTGCCCGGATAGTGTTCAGGGTCGGGCGATAACCCGGGTTAGCGGGCCCGCCCGCTTCCACGGAATAGTTTGATTTTGTCGGTGTCGCGGGCCTTAAAATCGGGTACGCACGATTGGTGCACGAGGGCATACGTGAGGCCGCCCAATGCAACAACAAAACGGTTAGATTCTCGGCCGGTAGCTCCCCCCCACGCATATTGTGGCTTATCGTCGAGAGATAAAACTATGTGGTCCTTTCCTCCCGGTGCTCGTTCCGCTGCTCATCTCTCCCTCCGATTGGGACTTGGAAGGCTCGGGGTGACCTCCAGGGGTTTCTACGTTTCTGCGGGGCCTCGGGCACGCAGCTCCTCCATCATCCCTCTCATTCTGTTTTGCTCTTCCCCTTTTGGTGTTTTGACAGACAGATTTACTTCCTTCCTCCTAAACTCGCCCTCGTCCTCCTCTTCCTCTTCCCCGTAGCCTCTTCCTCTGCCTCCTCCCTCCTCCTCGTTCGAGGGGGGGCGTGGTCTCATCTTGCCCTCCTCTCACCCGTCCCCCCTCCCCGTGCAGGAGTCGGAAGAGGACTCTAGCGAGGAAGGTGAAGGCGAGTTCTCTTTCGCCAACGACCAGACAGCGGTCACGGGCGGAAGGCGGGCAGGCTTGGTAACATTTCATGGAAGTCTTGTATAGCCTCGTTGGTCCGTCGCTAGATTGCGTTAGCGTTGATTAGCGTCTGGTTGGTATGAGACAGCGCCGATGTAGCGTCGATTAAAGCCGAGTTATGGTCGATTGGCGTCGACTCGACAGAGCCAACAAGCTGGCATGGGCGCGGAGGTAGCCGCTCGGAGGAGGACTCCGGCGATTGAGGCCAGGGCAAGCTCTCCTTCGCCAGCGACGAGACACCTGCCCTGGGGGATCGGCGGGGGCGGTGGTTCCTCAAGGAAGCCCAAACACGAATTACCGACGGATACTTTTCCGATCCGTGGATCCGGCGCCCACGCGCCAGATCCACGGATCCTTACAGTCCGCACTGGTAGTATGGATGATCGATTTTCCAAGGGTGTTCTTGCATCCTTGCCTCCTCGGCTCATCCTTGGCCACGAACGTTGGCCGCGCCCCGCTCGAGAAGTGCCGGCATGCCCTTGTATTCTTATCGCGCATCCTTACTATCAGTTTAGCTTGTAATCCATGTCATCGTTCGCCCGATTCCCGCAGGGGGCGCGGAGGCAACCGCGCTTCGCGTCTCGCTGCCTGGGCCAGATCGGTGCCCCTGCCTGGGGGGACCCCGAGGAGAGGCGCAAAGGTGACCGCGCCCCTTGCAGCGCGAGGCTCGACCTTCGAGACCTTGCGGTAGGTTCGCGCCGTATTGATTGGCGGTGACCCCGCCGCCAACATTCAGCGTTAGAGTAGGAGATCGACTGCAAGTTCCGAAATTTCGGAATATATATATAATATATATATATATATATGTATATATAAATATGTGTGTAGATATGTGTATATATGCATATATGCTTATGTTTGTTTTCTTGTCTGTCTGTTTGTCTGTCAGTCTGTTTGCCTGTGTGTATGTATGTATGTTTGTATGTATGAATGAATGTGTGTATGTATGTATGTATGTATGTATGTATGTATGTATGTATGTATGTTTGTATGGTTGTATGTTTGTATGTTTGTATGTATGTATGTATGTATGTGTATGTATATGTATGTGTATATGTATGTGTATATGCATATGTGCATGTAAATGTATATGTATATGTACATGTATATGTATAGGTATATGTATAGGTATATGTATATGTATATGCATATGTACATGTATATGTATATGTATATGTATGTGTGCTTGCAGGGGGAAGTGAGGGTTATTGTTTGGGTGATGTCTCGCGTTGCCATAATCTATGCTCAAGCGTCGGTTTCTCTCTGCAGAAGCGCCGATGGCCCTGGCCGCCAGTGCGGCCAGGTCCCCGTTCGCGGTCCTCGCGGTGGGGCTCGCCTTGATCAGCTGGCGCGCGGCCGAGGTCGGCTGGACGCCCGCTGGGCCTTGGCCTCCGCCGCCGCCGCCGCCGCCGCCGCCCGCGGCTGCGCTGGCTGCTGAGGGCTGGTGCCCCGAGGGCGCGCCGGCCTGGCTGGAGGCGGTCTGCCCGCCAGCGCCGGAGTGCCCGGCCTGTCTTGCTTGCGCGTGCCCGCAGGTGGAACTTCCTTGGCACTCGGAGGCGGAACTGCTGATCTGGCTCGTCGGCTCGCCGCTGCTGACGCATCTGATCGGGTACGCGCTGATATGCTGGCGAGGTCGAGGCCGTACCGCTGCGGTAAGGTATGGCGCTCCTCCCGTTCGGCGGGACAGTACGTCGCGATAGGGTACGATGGGGACGAGGTCGACCACGAGCGCGTCTTGCTCTTCCCGCTAGGTGGCGGAGTCTGGTGGATCAGAACGCCCGACGGCGACGAGTATTTTCAGGATGTGGTTTGTCAGGGCGCTAGGGACGGCCCAGTGCGCTGCAGCCTGCTGCCGGTGGACGGTTCGCTCCCGCCCGTGCGCCGCGGGCGCCAGCGTCGGCGTCTGTACCGAAATCTTGAGACCTGAACCAAATAGGGAGCTGGCATATTGTCCAGTACCTAGCACAATACTTGTTCACCGAATCAGGTCGCAACTGGTTGCCTGCGCTCGTCTCGTCGGCCCAGGAAGCAGCGCGGGCAACCTCACCCGCTTTCGCGCTATCATGCAACGGTCGAGCGAAAGCATTGCACGTCGATGCCAACCAGCGCAGAAGCGAAAAGGGATTTATGATACTTATGTGCGTGGTTGCCCCGTCGGCCGACTCGACGCCAATATCATAATATAAACCGCCATATGGTGGCAACAACGCCGTTGAGGTGCTGCGCGAGCTGTTGGCTCATTTTCGCTGGGTTATCGAGGTCGTCACCATCTTGCGCAGTAGATATGGCGCGGGTCACCGCCCCGAGGGACGCGGAGACGCCACAGCGCGCCAACAGTCTCGGGCGTTTCGCCTCTATGTCCATATCTGGAAACAGGAATAGCGATCGGCGGTCTCCTGAGCCAAAAATGGCTACTGACGGTGATGATGTTGATGGTCAGGATGGTGTTTATGATGGTGTTGATGATGATGCGGGTTGTCAGTGATCAACAGTGGCATGCAACAAACACAAAAAACATGCTACAACACGTTACAACACGTTACAACACGTGACAACATGTTACACCACATTCCAAACCACGATGGCGTGTTACGGCACATGCCGCCAACCAACAACTTCATTTACGATGGCTTATAACGCGCAGTAACCCACGTTACAAAACTTTACAACGCACTTACGGAAAACAAATCAAAGTTCCACAAACCTTGTTATGAGTGACACAGCGCGAAATTCCACAATGCACGGGCCCCCAGCGCACCCCCACGGACCATTTCGGGCGCTGCATCGGGCGCACCAGGCGCGCCGGGCGTGTCCCAAATCGGCGCCCTCGCTCGAGACAAGCTCGCAAAATCGCCACACGGGCCCCCAGAGCACCTTGCTGAGATATCCTCGCAAATCGCCCTTGTCGGGGATCACCTGGGGGTCCCCGAGGGACCCCCAAGTGATCCCCGCCCGCCCGATCCTCATCCTCCGTGATCTTCATTATCCTCATCCTCGCTCTCCCGATCCTCACCCGCCGCACCACCGCCACCCGCTCATTCGCACCATCGTCATCGAACACAGCCGCACGCGCTTTTTTTCTATTTGCAGAAACTCCCGATCAACCGCAGAGCGGCCGGCTAGTACGTTGACGTCCATAGGCAAATGAAGAGTGCTACAGCAATGCCGAAATAGTGATGCCACGTTGAATGGCGCATCGTCCATGAATAGCGTGTACTTCGAAATAAATGGTGGGGGGCGAGTGTCATACAGCATGTGTTGGAGGCTGCTGGATAGAAGCGCGGTGCCCCGACGGAGGCGCAGTCCAGCAACGACAAGGGTACTGAGTGCACCCTCGCCCGTCCGACCTACCCGTTCCCATCGCAGAAACGAATACTCCGCTCCCACGGGGTACATAATCGTCCCCGTTGCTCCTTCCCCTCTCCCTCCAGTTCCCCGCCCGTGAGCTCATCCTCCCCTGTTTTTTTTTCTGGATAGCGTTATTGTTTCACGCATCCCCCTCGTAGATGTTGTATTCATCCCCTCCTCCTCGTCCTCCATCTCATCATCCCTCCCAGTATCCCACATTTCCCATTTCTCCATCCCGCCATCCGTATGTCCCATATGTCCATCTCGGCATCCATCTGCCTCATCCTCAGTAGGTAGCCCGTCGGGAAGCTCTCGGCGGCTGCCATGCAGTGCGACTCGTTCGACGCGACGATCGCGCTGTTCCAGAAGCGCGGGGGGGAGGGGAGCACCATGGCGCACCTCGAGTGCGTCTTCACGATCCCTGAGATCAGGCCGCTGACGCGTGAAAGAGGGTGGGGGTATGGGGGAGGCGAGCGCGGGGGGGCGAATGGGTGGCGACGTGCCAGGAGACTGGTCAATTGTCTTTTGTGTGTGTGTGCGGAGCGGGGGAGCCTCCTGTTGAATTGGCCAGTCGCCATTCGTCCCGGCAGTGTTCTGCCCGCACTCGTCTTGCTCAGGGAGCCCAACGGCCGCTTCGCCACGACCAAGTAGAAGAACTCGGTCGCGGAGGATGCCTGGGTCGAGACAGCTTATTGCCTTGCATATGATGAGGTGGTGGTGGTGGTGGTGGCGGTGATGATGGTGATGCTGATGATGATGATGGTCATCATCAGCATCATCATGGTGGCGGTGATGATGAAGATGATGGTGGTGTTGATGATGCGCTGTTGCTGCTGATGCTGATGACGGTGATGATGATGGCGATGGTTATGGTGATTGTGATGGTGGTGGTGATGGTGGTAATGATTATGATGATGCTGATAATCACGATGATGACGACGATGACGCTGACGATGATGATGATGATGATGATGATGATGATGATGATGATGATGATGATGATGATGATGATGATGATGCTGGTGCTGGTGCTGGTGCTGGTGCTGATGGTTATGGTGATGCTGATGCTGAATACTGACAATGACGATGATGAGCATGAGGACGATACTGATGATCATGATCATGATCATAATGATTATGATGACGATGACGATGATGCTGATGATGGTGCCGATGATTATGGTTACGATGACTATGACGATGACGATTATGATGATGCCGATGATGCTGATGATGATTATGCTTATGGTTATGATTATGATGATGATGATGCTGATGATGATGGCGATGAGGATGAGGAGGATGAGGATGAGGATGATGATGAGGATGAGGATGAGGATCATGGTGATGATGCTGGTGATGATGGTGATTGTGATGCTGATGCTGATGCTGATGGTGATGGTGTTGGTGATGATGATGCTGATGCTGATGCTGATGCTGATGGTGATGGTGATGATGATGCTGATGATGAAGATGATGCTGATGATGCTGATTATGATAGTGGTGGTGATGATGATGCTGATGGCTGACGCATCGTCCCATGAGACGTCTGTGGGGAAAACATGTTATGCAGCACTTTCTGGACCCTCTGCTGTCTGGCACAGATGACGCGCTCCCTTGCCTGCCCGTGCCCCCGCTCCTTCTCTTCTCCGATCCCCCCTTCTCTCCCCTCCCTCGAAGACGGAAAGGTTGCGTTAACATGCATGGTTTGAATTCCGCGCGGGTTTCTTGGATCGGCGCTGGGCCCCCATGCCGGCGCCTCCTGGTCCGATCCAAGAACTCTGCGCGGACCCTCGAACATTTCTGTTTACGTAGTTCTTTGTTCCTCGACCCCGCCCCTCCTCTCTCCTGGCCCCCATGCGCCTGAGTGGATAAGGTACGCAAGCACATGACGAAGAGGTGGAGCATGCCAATGAGGACGGGATGATGCAGAAACGAGGGAGAATGAATGGACTGAGGGAGGGAGGGAGCACGAGGGATGGGGGAGGGGATGAGGAGGAGGAGAAGGTGGAGGAGGAGGAGGAGGAAGAGTAGGAGGAGAAGAAGAAGGAGGAGGAGGAGCTAGAGGAGGACGACAAATACGACTGCGGATGTGAACGCGACGGCGGCGTCGGCGACGGCGACGAGGCCGACCCCAGACATCGGGCGTCTCGATTTTTCGAGACACGGGCTTCTCACCGCTCGACCACTTCCCCGGGACCGATTTGTTTCATCCCGAGCCGATTTTTGACGGTCCCGGGGTCGCCCAACAAAGGGTCCTGAGGGGCCGAAAATTATAAAAAAAAACTCCGTCTCGATATGTCTGTCGGCGGCTAGCGAGGGGAGGGGAAGTGAGAAGGGGCGGGCCTTCTCAGAAGGCTTGGAAGTCCCCCGGTCTTCTGGGAAGTTTTCTGAGCCTTCCCCGAAGCCGTAGAACACTTTTCAGAATGCCCGAGGGGATTCCGAGAAGCCCGGCCGCCTTCTGAGAGGGCCTTCTCCTCACTTCCCCCCTCGCTCGCCGCCGAGTCTGGGACGGGCGACGGCGGCAGCCGCAGCCTTCCACGGCGGCCGGCCAGGACAGCGCCGGCCACGGCGGCGGCGCCGCCGCCGGGCAGCCCTGAGCCGCCAGGGATCGGGCGCCGCCCTGTGCGGTGGAGCTGCTGGGGGCGCGCCCTCCTGCGCAGCGCCAGGGGCCTCGAAAGCGTGTTGCCCGGGCTATTTTTCCCTTCGTGTCTTGACTTGGTTTTTGGTAGTTTTTTTTTGGTTTGTTCTCTCTCTCTCTCTCTCTCTCTCTCTCTTTGTTTCTCTCTCTCTCTCTTTCTCTCTCTCTCTCTCTGCGTTCTGCTTCTGGTGTCGGTCGCGGGGCGTGAGCAAAAGTGTGTGTTTGTTTGGTGTTTTCGTGGACCGTTTTCGTGTTGACTTTGTTTCGCAGCAAAGGCGGAACGTATCCATTACGAGGGAGCGCAGTAGCACAGCGAACACGAAACATGTTGTATAGCTCGAGTCTTGGCATTTGCTCTCTCTCTCTCTCTCTCTGTCTCTCTCACTTTTTCTCTTCCTCTCTCTCTCTCTCTTTCTGCGTTCTGCCTAAGTAGCTCATAGAGGCCTTGTATTCGGCGGTGAGCCCAGGGGTGAAGTGAGAGGGGGCAGGCCTTCTCAGAGGGCGGCGCGGCTTCTTAGAAGCATTCGCGCCTTCTAAAAGGTGTCCAAAGCCTTCTCCGAAAACAGAAGTGGCTTCTCAGATTTCCAGAGGGCTTCTGAGAAGCCCCGCTGCCATCAGAGAAGAACTGTCCCCCCATCACTCCCCCCCCGGGCTCGCGGCCGATGTATGTCATCGGAGTACCGTCTTTCGAGTGCGGTAGCGTGCGCTAGCGTCTGGTAATCGATGAGAACGTGGCGGTTGAGCGTGGATTGGCGCTGATCAGCGCCGACACGCGTCGGTCAGCGCTGGTTCTCAAGAGCCAGCACGATGACACGGGAGGCTCCCATGAGTTGCCACAGGTCTAGGTTTCTCAGATGGGGCTGGAGGTTGTCGCCGCATCGCCGATGCATCGACGATTCGGCGCGATGTGGAGTCCGATCTTTTCCACGCCGACAGAGCCGATGCACGGCAGACCTCGGTTTCTCGGACTCCACCTACGAGGCTTCTAACAGAACTTGGTCCGTCCCTGCCCCCTGATGCAGCTTGTGCCCCCCGACTCCAGGAGGGAAGATGAGGAGGAGGGGGTGGGGGGGGGAGGAGGAGGCGAAGGGAGGAGGGTGGAGAGGGGGGGGAAGGAGGGAGGAGGAGGAGGAGTCTCCCCCTGTGGGCTTTTCTGGCGTCCGCCTCGTGCCTCCCCTCCCTGCCCGTTCCTCCCCGTTGCTGGGCGTCGGGCGCGCGCAGAACTTTGCGGGCGCGTCGGGCGCGCACTGGTCGTCGCTCGCCTCGTGGGGCATGCTCGCTCCTCGCCATGTGGTGCAGTGGTACTGACTGGGCGCGAGCTGAACGGTGATTTTGTAATTTCATGGGCAGTCTTCGTTTTATCACCGCGTATTTCAGCAACGGCGGAACGAAGACAGGACGAGGGAAACCGAAACCAGCACAAACATCGAAAATATTGCTTAGCGCGAACCCTGGATGATGGGTTGACATTTGAGGGCCGCGGTGGCGAACGGAATGGCTCGTTCTACTCTCGGCCGGCTTGTTCCGCGCTGACCTTGCCAGGAGTTCCGTCACGATGACGTACTACGATCAAATATCCGAGGCCACATTGACGAATGCAATACCCGAAAGTAAGCGTCCGGAGCTAATGGGGCCCCAACAGCCATTGCCATAGGGGTCTGAGCTCTGATTCGCCTGCTACATAAGAGGGAACAGGGGGAGGAGAAAGAGGAGCATGGATGAGGAACCCCGGGGACCTGGCGAGGGGAACAGGGGGATCAGCACGACGATGAGAAGTGTGGTGTGGACGAGTGGGAGGAAGACTAGGAGATGAAGGAGGAAGAGGGGGAGGAGGAGGAGGAGGAGGAGGAGGAGGAGGAGGAGGAGGTGAGCAAGGGGTAAGAGTTGGAGGAGGTGGATGAGAAGGAGGAATAGGATGAGTAGGAGGAGCGGATGACAATTTTGCGGACGGGTAGGGCGGGTCACACATGTTGATTTTGATTGAGGAGGGGGGGGAGTTGGAGGAGGTGGGAGTGAGGAGGAGGAGGAGGAGGATAAGGATGACGATGATGATGGTGATGATGATGGTGCTTATGATGATTTTATGCTGATGCTGATGTTATGCTGATGCTGGTGCCGATGCCAGTGCTGGTGCTGATGCGGACGTTGTTGATGGTCATGATGATGACGCTGATGATGATGCTGATGATGATGACGCTGATGTGTATGATGTTGGTGATCATGATGGTGATGGTGATTGCGATGATGATTTGGTGATGGTGATGCTGATGATGCCGTTGATGATGCTGATGCTGCTTCTTCGAATGATGATGCTGACGATGATGATGATGATGGTAATGTTGGTGATATTGATGATGTTGCTGCTAATGATGATGCTGCCTACGATGATGCTGATGGTGATGATGATGCGGGCGATGCTGCTGCTGATGGGTCTGGCGATGGTGATGATGATGCTGATGTTAATGTTGATGATGCTGATGATGATGATGCTGACGATGTTGATGATGATGATGATGATGATGATGACGAGGAGGATGACGATGGTGGTGCTGATGGTGATCGTGATGCTGATGATGGTGATGATGTTGCTGCTGATGATGGTGATGATGCTGATGCGGATGCCGATGCTGATGTTGAGGTTGACGATGTTTGATGATGATGGTGGTGGTGATGATTGTGATGGTGATGGTGATGATGATGCTGATGCTGATGCTGATGATGATGATGATGGTGATGATGGTGATGATGAGGAGGAGGAGGACCAGGGCATGCAGTAAGATGAGGAGGAGGCGGAAAATGAGTGTGAGGAGGTTGAAGGCGACGAGTAGGAGGTTGGATATGACGAGAGGAAAGGATAATGAGGAGTGGCACCCCGAGGCACTGGAGGGCCGATTCTGCCGCGAGACCCGACCATTCCTTCAAGTACATCAATATGCACCAAAGAAACCAAACAAAGCTTCCAGTAGGAATTGATGATACATTATCTGAAGCGTTACCCCGTGCTTCCATGGCATTATGTATGGTGTCTTGAGGATCATGTAACACATCCTTATGATTGCTCTGAGCATTCTTATTTTCCGCAAGCATTCCGAGTGGAATCCCATGAGATATCCTTTTTTGAGGGGAACCCCTTGGTATTATAATGATTATTGTTGGGATTCCTTGGGATCCCTTCGGCCACCTAAACAAAACGTGTTTGGTCTTTCTTCGTTGTTGTCCTCTCCCTCCCTCTCGTTCTTATCTATTTTTCGAGTGTGCATTTTGTCCAGCTTGCAAAAGAAGGGCGCCACGCGGGAATTGTAGCGATTTCGTCCCGCAGGGATTGTGGCAATTTCGGTCCGCGGTCACAACGTCGTTGCTTTTATTCTCTGCACGTAGTGCTCTTGGCCCAAGAGCGCTTACCAGCCCAGCCACGTCGCCCACCGCGTCACTGGATGGACTCGCTCGCGCGAGGGCTGACCAAAGTGGCCAACGCTGGTGCTTTCGCCGTGGTCACTCTGTTGGCTCCTGCGCCGACCCACACCTGCGTGTGTTCCTTCGAGGCCCCGACGGCCGACGAGAAGGTGTCGTCCATCCGGCAAAACGAGCTCGACAGATGCGGCCCCGATTGGCTGACACAGCTGGTGTGGTTCAGTTATGAATGCAAGTACTTCCGCCCCCCTGACACGGGGTTCAGCTTCGCGACCGTCTTCGCATTCGGCCACCTGGCCCTGATCGTCGGCATACTCATCGGCCTTTTGTGGAACCGCTTCCGCCGACCCCAGCCTCTGGCCCTTCCTGGCCCGCGAGAGGTTACATCAGATACCGCGCAGCCAGCTGCTGTGCAACGGGAACAGGCCCACATACACCAGCATCACGTCGAGCCTTGAGAGGCTAATATGGTGGCTGCTGGATTTCGTTCCCTTGACGTCGCAGAGCGACACTGTCTCATCGATCTCCGACGACGAGAATGGTTTCCACTGGTATCACCTCTTCTTGCTGAAGCCAAGGCCTGTGCCAGGCCGCTGGATCATCTGCACTCCCGATTTGAGCGTGCAGGTGGCCGACCTGAACGCCCACCGGATCATCGCCTTGGAGCGCGACGCGTCCATCCCGGGCCAGTACGCCCGCGCCGCGTACGTCTTCGACTTGCTGCAGCCCGCCGAGCTGGAGCAGGTGCGCGCACGGGCAGTGACCCTGCTGGACATCCTCGGGATCACTAGCGCTTGGGCCGCCTTGCCGGTCCAGGCCGCGTGAAGGGCGGGTGGCGGACCCCGCCTACGCTGGCTTCGACGACGAGCTGCGGACTACCACCGCCGCCGACCGCGACTCGTTCATCCAGTCGCCGGACGGCGCAGTGGCCATGGCGCTGATCGACGACGAGTGGGTCGCCGTCGCCTCGGTCGCCCTCGACAGCCACGACGGATGGCAGTGCGATGCGTGCTGGGGCCAGTCGAGACTCACGCCCGGCGGGGGGCGCCCGGGTCAACGGCGCGCGGCTCATGCCGATGATCGGCGCTGTCTCCGCGTCCTGGATCGAGCCCGTGTCTGGCTGGCCCTTCCACGGGGAGAGGCTCGCCCCCAGGTTCGCCGCCTCGCTGCGCGGCACAGGGCGCGAGTGGATGCGGCGCCACCTGGACTTCGCGAGCATGAACGGGATCGGCTGCAAGTCTGGCTTGGCCCGCGCTCGCCGCCAGATCTCGGAGGCGATGGCCCCGCGCGCAGTGCTCTGTCCAGCTGAGTGCGTGCGATTTGGCGCATGCCGAACTCTCGGCGAGGTACTGGCGCCAGATCGAGAGTTCGGTTCGGGAGAACCCAAAGAATCCATGCACGAGTGGCATGGACATGCTGTTGTCTTCGGGAATCGACAGAGCGGCGGCGTCATCGCGACCAAGTGCCAGCGCTGGGTCAGCGCTGCGCAGCGGGACCGTGCCTGGACGATGAAGCCGGAGCGCCCGTGCGCTGAGGAGCAGGAGCGCGCCGCCAGCCGCGGCCGCGGGGCCAGCTCGGGAGGCGGCGACGGCCGCCCTGGCGCCGGGCGAGGCGCCGAGGCGGCGGCCGCGGAGGTGGCCGAGGCCGGGGGTCGGACGGCCTCCCGGCAGCGGCGGTGGCTTGCCCCCGGTTCGGGGCAGGCCGCGGGGAGTGCCTGCCCGCGCCAGACCTCGCCCGGGCGCGGGCGACGTCGTGGCCTCCGCGGCCCTTGCAGGCGACGTCGCGCTCGTCCTCGGCGCGGCGTGCGTCGGCCAGGACAGCGACAGCGCGACCCCTTCCCCGCGCCGACTGCCGGCGCGGCGGGTTCCCATCGCAGGCGCGCTTCCGTCCCGGCGGCGAAGAGAGCCAACGAGCGCTCGAGCGCCCTGAACGCGCTCAACGGCTCTTCCAAGGCTCCCGCGGTGTCATTCGCGCCCAGAGTTGTCGCGGCTTCCAGGCCCCGGCGTGACATCCTTCAGCGGCGTCGACGCCGGTGGCTCGACGCGGCTCGCGCCCGCCTACCGCCGCGCAACGGGCCTATCTGAGATTTCAGAGGCTTTTTTTCTCTGCGTTGCTTTAAACGAATGGCGGGCGCCAGAAAAAATGCGACGCCCGCCCGGGCCCCCGTCGGACGAACGGAGATGCGAGCGCAGTGGCGCGCGCAGTCGCGCGGTGCCCGCCGCTGGTAATGGCGCGAATGCACGGGCGTCGTGGCGACGACGACGGTGGCGGCGACGACGACGGCGACGACGGACGTCGCGACGACGGCGGCGACAGGGCCCGGGCCCGCGGGCGAACTTGCGCCCCGATCTCGCCCCTGGAGTCCAGGGCCAGATTTTATGGGGGGGGGAACTTCTGGGCGCAATTTGCCCCGGCCGCTCCCCCGCTTTACGATTTTTTTCGCTTATTCGCAACGTCGTTTTTCCTGTTCTCCGGAATCCATCGAGCGGCGCGCCTTTACTTAAGCTGTTTTTTTTCGCTTTCATAAAGCATTTTTTTGTCGCGGTTTAGTAGGGCCGCTTCTTCGCTTTAGTAGAGCTGCTTCCTCGTTTTAGTAAAGTCCGTGGTCTGCCTTGATCAAGCTTCGCGGGCGCGGCGGCGACGCGGGGTTAGGGCCTGGTCGGGGGGCGGGGGGGCCATTCTTATCCTGCTGGTTCATCCCGCGATGCATTTGCTCAGGTAATCAGGGTCGCGTTGTATCGGGTCGCGGCGACCCTTGGACATGCTGCCAGATGAGTTGCAGATGTTCCCTGACAGAAGATCCAGGGCGCCAGCGCACGATGTCTCGGCAATTCTGACGCGCTGCCACGGATTTCGCGCAACAGAGCGATCACTCTACTAAAAGGTTGGTTTCATCTTGCAAATAGCTCCTTCAAAGT